TAGGCGGGGTGGCCTGCTTGGGGCGGCGCCCTTTCCTGGTCTTCACCCTTCTCCCCCAGGCCTCCCTCCTGGCTGGGTGTGAGCCAGAAGTTTCAGTCTGGGTGCCTGTGCTGGCCTCCAGGAGGGCACGTTCTGCCTGTAGGAGCCAGACACTGAAGGCGGGTATCATGTAGCTGAGACCACACCCTGAGTTTGACCCCCACTTGTGGGCCTGGAGGTGGGCGTGAGATGTGTTCCTGTCTCCCAGAGGCAGGGCCTCCAGAAGGAGCCATGTGGGGGCCCAGCATCTGGAGCGATTCTGAATGCCTGGCTTCTTGGAGGCCAAGGCTCTAGGCAAGGTGGGTGTCCAGGCTGGGTTGGGGCAGTGCCTCTCATATTGGGGGCTGGAGTTCTCTGCTTTCTGCCTCCACAGGGATCACTTTTATCTGAAAACCTCCTCTCTTCTGGCCTTTGAAAGATGCTGACCAGAGCACACTCTCCTGCCTTTCATTGGGTGCTTAGAAAAAAGGCCTTGGCCGGGCGCGGTGGCTCAAGCCTGTAATCCTAGCACTTTGGGAGGCCGAGACGGGTGGATCACGAGGTCAGGAGATCGAGACCATCCTGGCTAACACGGTGAAACCCCGTCTCTACTAAAAATACAAGAAAATTAGCCGGGCGAGGTGGCAGGCGCCTGTAGTCCCAGCTACTGGGGAGGCTGAGGCAGGAGAATGGCGTGAACCCGGGGGGGCGGAGCTTGCAGTGAGCCGAGATGGCGCCACTGCACTCCAGCCTGGGGCACAGAGCAAGACTCTGTCTCAAAAAAAAAAAAAAAAAAGAAAAAAGGCCTTGAGGTGACCCTGTTCTAGCCTCCCCATGGGCCCCTGCAGCCACGTGGACTGACCAGAGGCTCTACACGCGGGCAGGTGTGGCCTGACCTCGCATAGGATCATGGACTAGTGGGTCCCCCAATGGGGGGCTGCTTCGAGTGTCAGGAGGCAGTGAGGGGTGCACAGTGCCCTGCCCTCTGCCATCCCCATTGGCTATTTGGCTGGTCTGCATTTGGGGAGCGAGTAGAGGGATCCAGAGTGCAGGGTGGTCTTGGCCTGGGGCTTTTGACTGCCCTCTGGAGATGCTCTGAGGGCCACCCAGCTGGGGAGCAGCTGGGAGGGACAGGAACCTGTTCCCGCTGTGGCATCTTTGCCCTTCCAAGCTGTTTCCCCGTCGCCCTTGGTCTCTGTGCCAGTTGGAAAATTGAGAACTAATCCCCTGGGTGGTCTGGAAATCATTAGTGAGAAGGGGGTGTCCTGTGCCCAGGGCTGCAGGTGACATGTCCCTCCACACTTTCAGCCCCAGGTTTTCCTACCTCGTGGGGAGGTGAGAGGTCGGGGTGAGTGCTGGGTTTGAGGCTCAGCTGTGCTGTGTGAAGATGAGAGGGTCCCACCTCATCACATGGACAGAACACACAGGCTCCTGGGTGGCCCTCAGGGTCCAGTGACACAGCACATGGTAGGGCATACAACAGTGCCCAGTAAATGTTAGCTGGTGGTGTTTCCAGGAGGGAACAGGGTATCGTGCTGAGTTTCTGAACTGGGAATGTCCTGTGAAAGCCTCTGTCTGGAAGTTTCATTGGAAGTACAGTTTACATGCAATTAAGTGCCTAAAATTGTATTTTCATTTACCTTAACCCAGACTCCCAGCAAGATAGAGAGCTGCCCTCACCCCAAAGAGTTCCTCATGCCCCATCCTGGATAGTCCTGTCAGGGCCAGGCAGTGGTGGGCATTTGTCCCTCACCCCATCCTGGGCAGTCCTCACCTGTCCCTCCTGCTGTGGTTTTTACCCTCAGTCCGTTTTGCCTATTCTAGAACTTAATGTAAATGGAGTCATGCAGTCTGTTCTCGTGCAAAAGGCTTCTTGCACTCAGTGCCATGACTGTGAGGTTCATCCATGTCTCTGCATCATTTCTGCCCTTTGTATTTTTGGCCGGTCGCGGTGGCTCACACCTGTAATCCCAACACTTGGGGAGGCCGAGGTGGGCTGATCACGAGGTCAGAAGATCGAGACCATCCTGACTAACACGGGGAAACCCCATCTCTACTAAAAATACAAAAAATTAGCTGGACATGGTGGCAGGCGCCTGTAGTCCCAGCTACTTGGGAGAATGGCATGAACCCGGAAGGCGGAGCTTGCAGTGAGCCAACATCACGCCACTGCACTCCAGCCTAGGGGACAGAACGAGACTCCATCTCAGAAAAAAAAAAAAAGTAATACTTTTTAAAAATGTTGAGTATTACAGAAATGAATATAACATGCAGATACCATGGTTTTTTTATAATCCCAGTCCCACAGATAATCTTATTTAGCAGTTGGATATGTGTGTCCCCAAGGTTTTTATTGCCACAGAATGGACTTGCTGGGCCGGGTAGGCTCTGACTGGGCCTTGGGCTGCCTTACTGTAAGTTCCTTGAGGGTGAACAGAGCGGGGGTGGGGCTGCTGTGGCTGGTCCAGCTCTGCAGGGCTTGGGCATGTGCCACCAGTGGCTTGAGAGGCTGGAGTGTTCCAGCCCCCTAGCGCCTGCCTGGGCCCTGGGCCTGCCCTCAGTGTTCGGGGACATGGCTTTCTGGCTTTTTAGTGGCAGGCACTGGGAGGGGAAGGAAAGGAGAGCAGTTACGTGTTGACAGTTCCGTAAACAGGGCTGTGCATCTGCTCTAACAGAAGGCCTGGGAAGGTAACCCAGAGGCTTTGGGTTCCTTCCTGCAGACCTTCTGGGTTCCCCAGAGAGAGCTGGCCCTCCCTCCAGCTGCTGGGGTTCTTGCCCTTCCCAGCTGGGGCCAGTCCATCTACAGGGGGAATCCTGAAGCTGAGGGATCCTAACTGGGGAGATAGTTTCTGTGCTACCCTTCTTGCCTCTCCCCTGGACCCCTGAAGGCTCTGTCCCAGGGAGGCGACGGGTCACAGCCTTAGGCGAATGCCCAGCTGGCCCCGATAGCCCAGGCCTGCTGCCCCACTGCCCCAGATCCTGGGCGTCCTGGGAGCTAGCGTTCTGGCAGGGCAGTAGGCCAGGGCTGGGCGTGCTAGCCTTGGGGCTGATAGGCCTGCTGCCCGGGCCTGCTGCCAGGGGCTGCTGGGTGCCAGGCGGCATCCTCATCGCAGCCTGCAGTCAGCTGCTGCAAGGGCTGGGCACCAGCATCCGGGCCAGCGCCCAGAGCTGTGTTTCTAGTTACCTGGCACTCCCCAGGCGGGGTCCTCCAGGGTAGGCGCTTGCTGTTTCATGCCCAGCGGTGAGCGGGTAGGGCAGAGCTCTGTGGCTGAGAAGGAAAGAGCAGTGCTTAGTAGGGGTTTTGCAGCAGAATGGCGTGTGCCACCCCCCACCCCTGCATGGGGTGAGGCTGCATTGCTGCTTGCAGACACAGTGGTGGCCTAGACGTGGCCCAGACTCAGCCCAGCTGGTGTAGATGGCAGGCATGGTGGCATTGTGCTTGCTGTGAACTTTCTGCATGTGGCTCTGACACCCTTGCCTCAAGTGGAGGGCGCAGGGAGGAGCCCTGCCCTGTTCTGTGTGACAGCTGACCCAGCCTGGGGCCATCCTTCCTTGGTGGAGAGACCTAGTCCTAGCCTGGGCTTGTGAAGTGCCTGTCAGGGCCAGGCAGTGGGCACTGATGGAGGGTGTTCCCACCCCCATGGCACTCAGGTGCCCCCCAGTCCTGTTCTACCACCCACTCCCTGCGCGGCATCCAGTAGCTGGCCTGGCCTCTGGCAAAGTCAGGTGACCCCTGGTTGCGGAGTTTGGCAGACGCTCTGCCCAGCAGGGCTCTGGTTGACTGGGTCCTGAGGGGCAGTGGTTGGGGAGCAGGTAAAGTGGCACAGGGCTGGATGATGGTGTCTGATTGTCTCCAGTGTGCCACCGAGACCCTCTATCCAGTTTTCTGACTGCTCCTGCCAGTGTTTCAGTGGCCCCTGCCTGACTGGCCTCAGCCCAGCGTTAGCCCACCAGGTCCAACCCTCGCTAACTATCGACACCCTTGGGCTTCCTGCCAACAGAGCTGGTTCTGCTGCCCTCTGGGCCTTTGGTGGGGTCCTGGACCAGCCATGCACCCCTCCCCTCACACCCCCCACCCAGAGGGGAGCTGCACTAGGGGCTGGAGAGACAGCTGGCCAGCTTCAGCCTAGGCCTCCCAACCCTGGGCCGGCACCCCGGGTCTGGTCACATTCCTGAGGGACCTGCTGAGCCTCCCTGGCCCTGGGGGTGGAGTGGGGGAAGGGGAAATGGAGACGGGCCACTGCACGCCCCCTCCCTGACCCCGGCTCTGTTCCATGGGGGCCCAGGCTGGCAGGTGTGGGGTGCAAGGACCCACCACTTCAGGATCCCCCCTCCCTCAGGACCCAGAGCTCTGGGGGTGGGAGGGAGCCCGCCCTTTGCTGGTGGCAGCTGCCCAAGGGTTTGGTGGGCCGGTATTGAAAGCCCAGGCCTGCAGCTTGGGCGAGCCCTTAGGCAGTGAAACCTCTGGAGAGGGAAGGCCATGTGGTCTGGCTAGGGGGCTGGGCCCTCTGGGCAGGGAGGGGGTAAGAGTAATCAGGAAGGGAAGGAACAGGGGAGCCAGAAGCGGTTGAGACTGGTTCTTATAAATAGCCTTGCACAAGTGGCTCCAATTTTGACCTTTTGTTATGTAAATGTGACCAGCCTGGGAAGGGCCCTGCCCAGGCCTCCTGCCACCACACCCACAGGCCAGGAATTGTGTGTCTGCCACCAGCGCCCCCTGGCCTAGGTGACCCCTGGGTGTCCATAATCTCCTTGTGTGTATTAGAGGGGGAGGTATCGCACCCTCTGAACTCCCTAGACCTGTTCCCTGGTCTTTACTTTTCCTGGTTGTCAAAAGGGACAACTGTGGCTCTGTGGCCACAGTCTCCTGCTGGGCTGCCCCTGGTGCCCCAGCCAGAGACCCCCAGGTGCTTCCCTTCATCTCCCTTCCCTCTCTTCACTGATGGCTGTCTGGGTGACTGTGTTCGTCTTCTCTTCCCCAGGTGACCAGGCATTGATGCGCCCCCAGGAAGGCCACGCGCTCAGGAGGCCCCCCCCCGCTGGCTGCTGCTCACATGGTGTCTGGGCCCTTGGCATTCCGGTGAGGCGCAGGGGAGGGAGGACCGCCACTGGCCCCTTTCCCCGGAGCTCTCTGGGTGGCGCACAGCCCCACAGCTCAGCCTCTATCGCTGTCTGACCCGTGGTCCTTTGTGTGCACACAGCACTGGGCAGTGTGGAGGGAGCCTGGGGGCTACTGCCCTCTGCCAGCCCCGTTGCCAGTCTCAGGGTACCAGGTGTCTGGGCGCTGGCAGAGCCGGCACTGATGTTTTCTGGGAGCTAAGCGGCTACCGGGGCCCAGTGTGGAAGCCACACCTTGGGGGCTCTTTGTCCCTGCCTGGTGGATTGAGGGGCCAGGGAGCAGAGGAGGATTGGTTCGTGAAGTCTTCAGCCCATGAGCACTCTTCTGAGCTGCTGTGGGCTGGGCTGCTAGGCAGAGAGCCCCTGCAGGTGCTTGCTGCCTCTTGCTGTTAGGCTCTGAGTGCCAGTGGTGTTCCAGGCTGTGTTGCGCTCTTGCGTGTTCACATTGAGCTCCGGCACCTTCAGGGGTCTGTGAATGTTAGGGTTTTCCTTTGTCTTTGCAAACAAGGGCAGGCATGGGGCTGGGGAGAGTTTCTGTCATGGGAAGGTTGGGTAGGGTGGGACCCTTTCCAAGGCTCTGCTCTGGGAGGCAGGGCTGGACACTCTGGGAGGGGCAGTAGATCCCAGAGGGCAGTGGCTGAGAGTAGTTCAGCTGCTGAGAGTCTGGACCCTGAACTGTGAGGCTCAGAGCTGCCTGTGGGCCCCGCTGCTCAGTTGTCCAGCAGCCGTGAGTCAGTGAGGAAAGTTCCTGTCTCCACTGGCCCCCTGCCCTGTGGAAGCTTGTGAGCCTGTCCAGGGCACAGGTGGCCACCTGTACACTGGCATGCCTTCCCCAGAACCCTCCTGCTGAGCTATTCTCTGAGGGGCTCTGGTAGGGGTGAGAGGATGGAGCTGAGCGTACTGTGTTTTGCACTGGGGAGTTGGGCTTAGGGCTGAGGATGGCTTTGAGTCATTCAAAACATTCCAGAGTCATTCTCTACACTGCCGGCCACAGTCCTTGCCTCTTCCCTTGGAGCAGCATTTCTCTCTTCCCCCCTGGGGTCCATCTGGTGCCCACTGTGCACCCGTGTGCGCTGCCCTTGCATTCCCACTGTGGGGTGCCTGGTCCATGGCAGAGGAAGCTGCTCAGTGGGGATGGGAAGCGTGGTGAGGAGCACCCGCTCTCGAAACCCCATGGCTTGCTGCCGCACAAGCAGAAATACACCTGGGCTGGCAGGGTTCCTGCAGAGACCAGTGGCGTCGGTGTGTTTCTTGCTTACTGAATTCGGTTAGCGCCTGTGCCAGTCTGTGTGACGGAGGCCAGCTGGCCAACTTTCCTAGGCCCAGATGGCGCTGCCCTTCCTAGAGAGGATGGAGGGTTCAGGTGGTGCCAGGTGTTTGGCCCAGACTGCCTTTCCTGCTTGGTACCTGGAAGCCCAGGCTGGGGCAGCACTTGGCACCCGCCCAGAGTGCAAGGTGGCCCAGGGCCTTGGGGAGAGGCGGGGCTGCAGGCCGACTGCAGCATCTGGGAGGCAGCCACGTGACTTCTGGCAAAGCTTGGTCAGCCTCTCAGGTGGCTTGGGAGGCATACCAACAGAGCCAAGGCTGCACACCAGAGGCTGCTGGCAGTTTGATTTGGGCCCTGCCGTATTTCAAAGGGAACATTTAGTTTTGGGGGATTTTTGCCAGCTTTCAAGACAAGCTCCTCTCAGGGAGGTCTCTGCTTTCTTAGGTTTAAAGCCATCTGCTGGTCATTTTTGGGTCCCCTTCTGGTGCCTGAGGGTGTGTCATCGACTTCATTTAGTGTAGAGACAGTAGCCCGGGCTGTGAAACCAAATGCAAATCCCTGTTTCTCTATTTGTCACCTCATCATCCTCCACCTCCGTTTTCTTATTAGTGCAAATGGGGCAGGGGCCTCTGTCCCTTCTCAGTTTGAGTCCTCAGTGAGGGGACACATATACTACGCCTGCATGCAGGGGGCATTGTGGGCTTATGTGCTGTGTACTGTGCCACAGGGGCTGCTGCCCTGTGTGGGGTAAGTTCTGAGGCACTTTGCCTTGTCGAGCCCCACCCTGCCCTAGAGCCCTGGTCCGAGTGTCCCAGTCATCTGACGCGTGCATGCCTGTTCTTGCCCACAGGTGGTGCGCGTGGGCAGGGCGCGGGGACATGGGGCCCGACATGGAGCTGCCCAGCCACTCGAAGCAGCTCCTGCTGCAGCTGAACCAGCAGAGGACCAAGGGCTTCCTGTGTGACGTCATCATCATGGTGGAGAACTCCATCTTCCGGGCCCACAAAAACGTCCTGGCCGCCAGCAGCATCTACTTCAAGTCCCTGGTCCTGCACGACAACCTCATCAACCTGGACACAGACATGGTCAGCTCCACGGTGTTCCAGCAGATCTTGGACTTCATCTACACAGGCAAGCTGCTGCCCAGTGACCAGCCAGCCGAGCCCAACTTCAGCACCCTCCTTACTGCCGCCAGCTACCTCCAGCTGCCCGAGTTGGCAGCCCTCTGCCGCCGCAAACTCAAGCGAGCCGGCAAGCCCTTTGGCTCTGGGCGGGCGGGGGCTGCCGGCATAGGGCGACCCCCCCGCAGCCAGCGGCTGTCCACAGCCTCTGTCATCCAGGCTCGGTATCACGGGCTTGTGGATGGGCGCAAGGGGGCCCACGCCCCCCAGGACCTCCCGCAAGCCAAAGGCTCAGACGATGAGCTCTTTCTTGGTGGCTCTAACCAGGATAGCATGCAAGGTCTGGGCCGGGCCGTCTGTCCAGCTGGCGGGGAGGCGGGCCTGGGGGGCTGCAGCAGCAGTACCAACGGGAGCAGTGGGGGCTGCGAGCAGGAGCTGGGCTTGGACCTGTCCAAGAAAAGCCCACCCTTGCCTCCTGCTACGCCAGGTCCCCACCTCACTCCCGATGACCCAGCCCAACTGAGCGACAGCCAACATGGGTCGCCCCCTGCGGCCTCTGCCCCTCCCGTTGCCAACAGTGCCTCTTATTCTGAGCTGGGGGGCACCCCCGATGAGCCCATGGATCTGGAGGGGGCCGAGGACAACCACCTGAGCCTGCTGGAGGCGCCTGGCGGGCAGCCTCGGAAGAGCCTCCGGCACTCCACTCGGAAGAAGGAGTGGGGCAAGAAGGAGCCTGTGGCTGGCTCCCCCTTTGAGCGGAGAGAAGCGGGGCCCAAGGGTCCCTGCCTGGGAGAGGAGGGCGAGGGGGTCGGGGACAGGGTTCCCAATGGTATCCTGGCTGGTGGGGCTGGCCCTAGCGGGCCCTATGGGGAGCCCCCTTACCCCTGCAAGGAGGAGGAGGAAAACGGCAAGGATGCAAGTGAAGATAGCGCGCAGAGCGGGAGCGAGGGGGGCAGCGGCCACGCCAGCGCCCACTACATGTACCGGCAGGAGGGCTACGAGACAGTGTCCTATGGGGACAACTTGTACGTGTGCATCCCCTGCGCCAAGGGCTTCCCCAGCTCCGAGCAGCTCAACGCGCACGTGGAGACTCACACGGAGGAAGAGCTGTTCATCAAGGAAGAGGGGGCCTACGAGACAGGCAGTGGGGGTGCCGAGGAGGAGGCCGAGGACCTGTCAGCGCCCAGCGCAGCCTACGCAGCTGAGCCCCGGCCCTTCAAGTGTTCGGTCTGCGAGAAGACCTACAAGGACCCAGCCACGCTGCGGCAGCACGAGAAGACGCACTGGCTGACGCGGCCCTTCCCCTGCAACATCTGTGGCAAGATGTTCACGCAGCGCGGCACCATGACGCGCCACATGCGGAGCCACCTGGGCCTGAAGCCTTTCGCCTGCGATGAGTGTGGCATGCGCTTCACCCGCCAGTACCGCCTCACCGAGCACATGCGTGTGCACTCGGGCGAGAAGCCTTACGAGTGCCAGCTGTGCGGGGGCAAGTTCACCCAGCAGCGCAACCTCATCAGCCACCTGCGCATGCACACTTCTCCCTCCTAGAAGCCAAAGACCCGCGGGCGCCCTCTGCCACCTTGCTCCCCGGGAACCCATGGAAGGAGAAGCGAGGTGATGCAGCGGCAGGGGCGAGACCCTGGGTCCAGTGGAGGCTCCGGGTGGCCCCTCTGGCCCCCACTGCCCACACCCAGAGCTTTAATCGACAGTCTGTACCAAGCAGAGCCGAGAGGAGGGAAGCCAGGGGTCCCAGCCCGTCTACCTCCCCATCCCACCCAGGCCCCCAGCTCCCCGCGGGGGCCACCGCAGGGCCTGTGGGCTGGGTCACGTGGGTCTCGCTGGGACCTGGTCCCTTTGCTGCAGTCGGCTTGGAGAAAGAGGGCAGTGGGACGCTGGCCACGGCCAGGGTGGTGTCAGGAGCAGGCCCCACCCCGCTAGCCGTGTCTGTGTGTGTGCTTGTGTCTGTGGGGGCGCGTGCGGCCCTGGTTCTGCAGGGAACAGGTGCTGGGGGTGCAGATCCCTCCCTCCTTGAGCCAGGGTGGCACTGCTCACTGGCGCTGGGACAGTCAGGGTGACCCCACCGCCTACCTCTCTACAACTAAAGAGCCCTCTGGGCCTGTGTTGCTGTTATACCTACTGATCTGCTCCTCTGTTTTTCTTTTTGATTTTTGTTCTTTAAACCAAAACAAACAATAGCTTATTTTCTTCCCGCCCCCTCCGGGCTGAGCCTGGGTCTGAAGACTGAATGTAACAGGGGCCGCTGGCCCTCCTGCGCGTCCCCCGGCTCTGGCGCTGCAGGGGTGCTGGTGCGCCACCTCTCCAGGCCCCAGAAGCCCTTCTTGCCCAAAGGCTTCCCTGGTCCCTGAGCCCTGCCTCGGCTGCCTCAGGAGAGAGTGCTTTTCCTGTAGTTTCCAAGGAATATTCTTTGTTTAGAGGTACTTGTTTTTTATTAAGAGAAAAACCAGTGTAACGTTTATGTGACTGTTTGAACTGGAAGGTCTGGGGTTCCGGGGGGTGGGGGGAGGCTGGACTCGATGCCGGGGCCGTCGGTACTCGTTTTCATTTTTGTGTGTGTGCGTGTGTGTGTGTGTCTGTGTGGTGTGTGCTGTACGCATGGGCAGACGTTTCGCTTTCCCTGCTTCCTCACTGAACAAGGTGGAGACTTCTGACATTTTGCTACCTCTTGAATTCGTGACAATATGTTGGTGACTGGCAGTGGAAGCCCTTGACAAGCGCCCAGGAAGTCGTGTGCAGGAGCCAGCAGGGTGCCGAGTGGCCCAGTGCCTGCAGGTCACCTGTGTTTTCCCTTTGAGCCTTGGGCCACATGCACCCCGAGGGGACCCTGGCAACCCGGGAACACGAACCTCTGTTTGTGGCATAGGGGAGGAGTGTGAGGCCCCAGCCTGGAGCCAGGTACTGGGTGCTGACGGGACCCATGAGGAGGGTGGCAGTTCTTTGCAGCTCCTGGCCAGGGTGAGGCAGAAGTGAGCCCTCATCCTGCCACTCCCACCCTCCATTCCTGCAAGAGTTTGAGCTTGAGAGAGCTGACCACAGGGCCCTCTGGGGAACAGGGATTGCACTTCCCTGAGCAGTCCTGGCCCCCGGCCACCGTCTAGGGGCCAACCTCTCGCCCCTCATCTTGGGCTTCCTCAGCCAGCCTCAGATACTTCCATGGGCCCCGAAGTGGGCTCTCAAGGCCAGACCAAGGTTGCTGATCTCAGTCCCACTGTCTTCAGCCAGCTGGAGCTGTGGGGCTGGGCCAGCAGGCTTTATCGTCATCTTGCTTCACCATTTTTTTTTTTTGTTTTCTCTTTTCATTCTATTTTAAGTTTAGACCAAAAAAATACAGTCATCCCCTACCCCCACCCCTCTAGAGACCCTCCAGCTAGAAACAGAGCCTGAGTTCAGGGACCCAAGTGGGGAGCGGCGTGTTTGGGGTGAGGGAGTCGGGCAGATGAGGCTCCTGGCTGATCCCTCCCTGTGGTGATCCCAGCCTGAGACGGCCCTTCTTCCCTCCTGGTGGTGGGAAACAGAACTGGGCCCTGGGTCTCAGGTTCCAGCAAGTCAGGCTGGGGACCTGGGGGGAGGAGACCCATGGACTCCATCCTTACTCAGGGCGCCCCCGCTGTCCTGACCCCACCCCACCCCATCAGCACTTAAGCCACGTGACACAAAGTCTGTACCGCACAGGAAATGTGCACACACCTGGCCGTGTGCGTGGCCTCCCGGGCTGTGGGCAGCCGCATCTGTGAGGTGACTTGTGAAAGTAGGTGATTCCTTTGCAGAACTTCAGGGACTGGGAGCAGAGGCCCCTCACTCAACGACGTTTGTGCGACATAGTATTGTACCCACCTTAGTATTGTATCGAGCCTTTTCTGTATTTTAATGAGAAAGCAGAACACTAGTTTCCTATTTAAGACTTTAAGGGTTTTTGGGACAGGGCGGGATTAACACAACATTTGGCTTTGTTTTCTTTTTCCTTTGATTTCCACGTTGGGTGTGTGCGAGTGTGTGTGTGTGTGGAGATGTTAAGAGCCTCATAAGGAAACTGGGTTATTGGAGGCCAAGGCGGCTTACAGTTCTCTGCGTTTGTCACTTAATTCCTGAATGTTTCGGAGAAACAGGAATCAGAAAATAGCAGATATCATGTAGGAAAGAGAGGATAAACAAAGAAAAAAGAAAAAAAAATAAGCTCATACCCAAATTCACAAAGCCTATTTTTTAAACCAAAGCACATTTTGAATGAGTATGGAACCTCCATGGGCTCAGAAAAAAGATACTAATATATTTATCTCATTGTTTACATAAGCTTTTACAGTTTCAGACCTCAGCAGCTGTAAGGCCAGTCCAGGGAACCCTCCCCTGCTGCTGGAAGCCCTTCTGAGTTGGCCCTGGAGTGGTTCACGAGCAGAGAAGGGCAGCCCTGGGACTGGGGAAGGGACTGGAAGCCTCCCTGGAGTCACCTGAACCCTCGTCCCCATTCCCAGGGCCCCTCCAAGCCCAGCTGGCACCAAAGAGCTTGGGCCCGTGCTGACCAACCCCCAAGGCCCTCTGGCCGGACCACGCTGGTCCTGACCAGCTAGCCTACACGGGGATGGCTGTCAGTTCTGGCCACAGGACCTGAGTCTGGGCTTGGGTCCCCTGCTGCTCTGCCCGTGACCCTCGGGGATGGGTTGATGTGAGGGTCCCACTCAAGCCAAAAAGCCGGGACCTTTGCACGGCTCAGTCGACTCTGGTGGGTCCCCAGGAGTGGGGACCCTTAACCCCACCCCAGACAGCAGAGGGGGCTGACTGGGTCTGGTCCTTACCAACATAGACGGTGCAAACACTCTTAACAGTGTTGTTTTTGTATCAATATGTTTGTGCAGTGATGAATGTATTTATTTCTCAGACTTAGGGCGAGTGAGCGGGTGGCAGGCCGGGCTCCGCCACTGCACGCTCCCGCCGGACCGAGCCCCAGCAAGGGCTCCTCCAGGATTGCAAAAAAAAGGAAGAGAAAAGATGAACCTTTAAGCAAATAAGAATCTCAGAGACTTGCAGCATAGCCATACACCTCAGCCTGTGAAATGAGCAATCCGGACCCTCATCGACTTTCCCCACCTCAGGCAGCCATGTGTGTTTCCCGTTCGTCACCACTCGGGGGCGCCGGGCCGCCCACCCACTCCCCCAACCTGTCAGTATTCACTGGACCTCAGACCCCATGCAGGAGTGCGATCCGGGCTGGGCCGCTGGGCAGGCTGACCCCCTGCCCTCCTGCCGCCATCCTGAGTTGGGGTGAGGCCTGGGCAGCCGGAGGGCAGGGCTCAGGGAGCAGGAGGCTGCATCCGTCCACCCCCCAGGCGTGGGGGACAAAAGCCAAAGGCGCCAGGCCTTAGAGCAGACAAGGGCTCTCAGCCCTGGCATGCCCCCTAAAGGGACCAAGGTCCTATTTCCCAGTACCCCGTCGGGGCAGATGTTACTGAACCTGTGAATCAAGATGCCAGGAGTGAGGGGCTGGGGAGGGACCTAACTGGAGCCTCAGTCTGACATTCCACGCCGGGGTAGGGGTGGGCATGAGCGGTGGGAACTGAGGCTGCCCAGGACCCCCTTCCTAGGATGCCCCGGCTTCAGTCACCCCACTTTAACTTTCTACCAGGACCCCCTCCCCCTACCTCACCTTGCTATTTATTGCTGTAATTTATTGACCTCAAAAATGCTGCATAACAGACCTCACTGGGGTAGGGAGGATCCCCAGGGCTCCCACCCTCCACTTGGCGGGCCCCGTGGGGCCAGGTGCTGAGGGGAACCTCTCTACCCCACCCATCACTAGCTTCCCTCTGCCCTCCCCCACCCGGGGGGGCCCAGGTTGGGCACTGGCTCATTTCTCGCAAATACCTCGAAGGGGAGGGGGGAGGGATGGGGTTATAGCTGTTTTGTTTAATTGGAACTGGAAGAGGGATCATGTTTTGTTTTATGCCCTTCCCAGCAGGGGGGAGGGACACCGGGATCGCACTCCTGTACTGGCCACCGCCGCTGTCACTCGTCACATTGAGTTCATGTCCCTTGAGAGTTTGTATAAATTCAGGTCAGAACTGCAGCTACACAGCTGCCCAGTGTCATAGAAAGAAAAGCAATTCACCAACGACTGATCTCTCCATTCAGAAGTGTGCAGTCTTAATGTACAGCGATGAGAAACTGTTATTTTATGATCTTTTCATTAAAAGCTTGATTGAAAACTGGTGTGGGACCTCCAGTTTCTGCTTTGGCTGTTCTCTCTAGCAAAGTGACATGGCTTCTAAGTCTTAGGAGGGTGGTGTCTGGGATGGGCATCTGCCTGCCACCATTCAGTGGTGCTTGGTGGTGAGGTGCTTGGTGGGTCCTGGGGGTGTGCACTGGGCCAGTGGACTGGCACTTTGGTGTCAGTATGCTCTTGGGCAGTGTTGGCCTGAGTTAGCTGAGGCTGTCTGGGAAGCAGCAATGTGTGCACAGTTACAGCAGCATGGACCTGGTGACTGGGAAGAGGAGGATGGCTGTCAAGTGCCCGGGACCCCTCATTGGAGCGGCAGAGTTGGGGCTGAGGAAGGGCTGGGGCAAGGCGAGGGCTGTTCCCTTCTGCTCACTGCTACTTCCTGCTGCTTGGCCTGAGGGGAGGGGAGGGAGGAAGGAAAATGGTTAATAATCCCCAGGGACCACCCAGAATGGGGATCCTAGTGTGAAGACCCAGGAGGAGGAGCAGGGATGGAGGGGACTGCAGGCATCCGTGGTGGCTCCTGGCAGCCGGAGATGAACCCAGTGACCCCAGACTCCAGAAGAGCTTGAGCGCAGATACTGTAAGTCTTGGTGAGTTCTGTTCAGTGGATTTAAAATGATTTTTCGGCTTTATCAAAGTAATTCCTGAATAGAATTTAAGTAAGTAAGTGGTTCTCAAAAAGGCTTAAAACGAAAACTAGTTTGTCTCCCCAACTCCATCCCATACTATATAATGTGAATCACTTTGAATTATTTTAGCACTTTCTCCTGCATTTATCTCTACGTGTCTAAATAGTATTATTACACTACTGTCTTATTCATTCTGTTTTGGAGTCTGGACTTAATAAGGATTTTAGTTGATTTGTACTCTCTTCTCCCTAATTTATATCCACCAAATAGTTATCAAATGTGTAGTTTGATCTAGAGGTTGGCAAGCTTTCTATTAAGTAGATTGTAAAAAAAAAAAAAAATTATATATATTTACATATATATATATTTACTCCAGCTTTTGTCTAGGCTGGAGTGCAGTGGATCATAGCTTACTGTAACCTCAAACTCCTGGGCTCAAGTGATCCTCCTACCACAGCCTCCCATGTGCTGGGACTGCAGGTGTGAGCTACCACATCCAGCTAATTTTTTTTTGTTTTTGTAGAGACAGGGTCTTGCCATCTTGTTAGGCTAGTGTTGAACTCTTGGCTTTAAGTGAGCCTCTTAACTTGGCCACTGCATCTGGCCTCACTGATGGCTACTTTTGCACTATGACAGAAGGCTAAGTAGTCACAACAGAGATGGTATGACCTGCAGAGCCTGAAATATTTACTATCTGGCAGCCAGATGCGGTGGCTCACGCCTGTAATCCCAGCACTTGGGGGGGTTAGGCGGGTGGATCATGAGGTCAGTAGATTGAGGCCATCCTGGTTAACACGGTGAAACCCCGTCTCTACTAAAATACAAAAAATTAAGACCGGGGTGGTGGTGGGTGCCTGTAGTCCCAGCTCCTCAGGAGGCTGAGGCAGGGGAATCGCCTGAACCCAGGAGGCAGAGGCTGCAGTGAGCCGAGATCACGCCACTGCACTCCAGCCTGGTGACAGAGCGAGACTCCATCTCAAAAAAAAAAAAAAAAAAAAAAAAAAAATTAGCTGAGCATGGTGGAATGCACCTATGGTCCTAGCTACTTGGGAGGCTGTGATGGGAAAATCACCTGAGCCTGGGAAGTTGAGGCTGCAGTGAGCTGTGATCGTGGCACAGTACTCTAGCTTGGGCAACAGAGGAGACTCTGTCTCAAAACAAAACAAACAAAAAATCATAAACTTCATTTATAAAAACAGGTGCAGGAGGATGTGATTTGCCAATCTGTCCCTATTGTGATCACTATGTAAATTTGTTTACTTACTGCTAAGCTGGGTAAGATAATGGGTCTTCATCTCCTTTTTTGTACAATTTCTTTTTTTTTTTTTTTCTTTTTTTGGAGATGGAGTCTTGCTCTGTCACCTAGGCTGGAGTGCAATGGCGCGATCTTGGCTCACTACAACCTCCACCTCCTGGGTTCAAGCGATTCTCTTGCCTCAGCCTCCCAAGTAGTTGGGATTACAGATGCCCACCACCATGCCTAGCTAATTTTTATATTTTTAGTAGAGAGGGGGTTTTGCCATGTTGGTCAGGCTGGTCTCGAACTCCTGCCTTCCAGAGATCTGCCCGCCTTGGCCCTCAACGTGCTGGGATTACAGGTGTGAGCCACCGTGCCTGGCCTTTTGTACAATTTTTTGTTTTTTCTTTTTGGGACAGGATCTCACTCTGTCACCCAGACTGGAGTGCAGTGGCGCTATCACAGCTCACTGTAGCTTCAACCTGTTTGGCTCAAGTGATCCTTCTCTCTCAGACTTTGAGTAGCTGGGACTACAGGTGTGCACAACCACACTTGGCTAATTCTTTAAATTTTTGTAGAGATGGGGTTTCACTGTATTGTCCAGGCTGATCTCAGACTCCTGGGGTCAAGTGATTCACCCACCTTGGCCCCCAAAGTTTTGAAGTTACAGGCCTGAGCCACTGGCCAATTCCTTGTTTATGTTCCCCCCCCCCCTTCTCCCTCCCCTCCCCTCCCCTCTCCCTCCCCTCCCCTCCCCTCCCCTTTCTGACAGGGTCTCGCTTTTTTGCCCAGACTGGAGTACACTGGTGCCATTTTGGCTCACTACAACCTTCACTTCCGGGTTCAGATGATTCTCATGCCTCAGCCTCCTGAGTAACTGGGACTACAGGTGCACACTGCCATGCGTGGCATGCATGCATATATTTATTTATTTATTTTGTATTTTTAGTAGAGATGATGTTTCACCATGTTGCCTAGCCTGGTCTTGAACTCCCGGCCTCAAGTGATATGCCCACCTTGGCCTTCTAAAGTGCTGGGATTACAGGTATGAGCTACTTTGCCTGGCCTCTTGTTTTTTCTTAAAAATTATTTGATTATTTTGATTGAGCAGTTACCCCCTTTAACTCTGTGAAACACCTCCAGTACAGTTTTCCACACAGTGAGACACTATCTATGCTGTTATTTCCAACCCTCTACCACCGCAGGGGACATCCTGGAGTCCGCACAGATGTGGGCTAGGGTTCTTCCTGCCATTGTCCTGCATTAGCAGCCCTGTCTTGTGGATCTCATGTACTCTCTTTCTTGAATTACAAGCTTGTTTTGGTGGCACAGTTCCTCTGGTGCAATCCTGAGAAATAGCATATGGGAAGTAGGATTTTTAAGACTTTGAAGTTTGAAAATGCTTGTTAACTATATGGAATTGATATTTTGGCTGGGTATAGAATTGTGGTTTGGATATCCTTTCCCCACTGAATTTTTAAGGTGTTGTTCCCATGGCTTCTACCTTCTAATGTGATGAAAAGTCTAACTCGTTTTGTATGTGCCCTGATTTCCTCCCTGGAAGCATTGAGGAACCTCTGTTTTACGTGGTTTGCCCATTCATTGGGCTAGGCACTTGATGGCTAGGTTTCACTCCAGAGACTCATTCCCTTCAGTAAAGTCCTACTGATTTTTAAAGTAGCTTAGCTGGGCACAGTGGCTCACACTGCAGTCCCAGCACATTGGGAGGCTGAGGCAGGCGGATTGCTTGAGCCCAGGAGTTTGAGACCAGCCTGGGCAACATGGCAGAACCCTGTCTCTACCCCCCAAAATAGAAAAAATATTAGCTGGGCTTAGTGGTGCACACTTATAGTCCCAGCTACTCAGGAGGCTGAGGTGGGAGGATTGCTTGAATCTGGGAGGTGGAGGTTGCAGTGAGCCAAGACAGAGACTCTGTCTCAAAAAATAATAATAAAGCTGGGTGCGGTGACTCACACCTGTAATCCCAGCACTTTGGGAGGCCAAGGTGGGCGGATCACCTGAGGTCAGGAGTTTGAGACCAGCCTGACCAACATAGAGAAACCCCGTCTCTACTAAAAATACAAAATTAGCCAGGCATGGTGGCACATGCCTGTAATCCCAGCTACTCGGGAGGCTGAGGCAGCAGAATCGCTTGATCCTGGAAGGTGGAGGTTGTGGTGAGCCGAGATGGTGCCATTGTACTCCAGCCTGGGCAACAACAGCAAAACTCCATCTCTAAATAAATAAATAAAATACCGATCATTTTTAATTCCTAAGAATCCTTTTGTCTGTTTCTTGATTTTATTTCATTTCATCCTTTTTTTTTTTTTTTTTTTTTTGAGACGGAGTCTCGCTCTGTCGCCCAGGCTGGAGTGCAGTGGCGCGATCTCGGCTCACTGCAAGCTCCGCCTCCCGGGTTCACGCCATTCTCCTGCCTCAGCCTCCCGAGTAGCTGGGACTACAGGCGCCCACAACCGCGCCCGGCTAATTTTTTTTGTATTTTTAGTAGAGACGGGGTTTCACCGTGGTCTCGATCTCCTGACCTTGTGATCCGCCCGCCTCGGCCTCCCAAAGCGCTGGGATTACAGGCGTGAGCCACCGCGCCCGGCCTCATCCTTTTTTTTGTAATAGGCGTAATCTCTTCCTTTTTTTTTTTTTTTTTTTGAGACAGAGCCTCACTCTGTCGCCCAAGCTGGAGTGCAGTGGCGTGATCTCGGCTTACTGCAAGCTCCACTTCCTGGGTTTACGCCATTCTCCTGGGTTTACGCCTCAGCCTCCCAAGTAGCTGGGACTACAGGTGCCCATCACCACGCCAAGCTAATTTTTTGTATTTTTAGTAGAGACGGGGTTTCACCGTGTTAGCCAGGATGGTCTCCATCTCCTGACCTCGTAATCTGCCTGCCTCCCAAAGTGCTGGGATTACAGGTGTGAGCCACCACGCCTAGCCAATCTCTTCCCTTTCTAAGGAATGCTGATTTTTGACATCTTAATTTGTTTCTTACATTGTATATATAGTAGTTTCTTTTTAGATCCCCTTTTCAGTTTGGTTATACATATATTTGAGACTAAGTCTTCCTCTGTTGCCCAGGCTGAAGTGCAGTGGCACGATTTTGGCTCACTGCAA